AATGTTTAAAAAAAAAAAAAAAAAATTGTGGAGAAAGGCACTGAAAGAGCCTGATTATTATTTTTTTTGGTTTGTTTTTTCGTTTTTATTTTGGATGTTTACAAAAACCAAAATAAGAGTAAATTTTTTCTTTTGGTCATGATAAAAAAAAAAAAAAATGATTACATTCAGGGTGAAAGAAAAGTGAAAAAGTGTTTTTGTTGTTTTAAATCACCAAGATTTTACCCCCCCCTAACACACACACACACAAACACACACTAAAAAGAAAGAAAAAAAATTTGTTACTCTTTCCTTTTAATAATGCTATTTTCCATCTGCTAAACATCTTGCAGTATCAATAATACCAAGAATATTTACTATATTTGACAGACTACAAAGAATTTTAAAAGGGATTTATTTTGACACCTGCATCATAATTTATCATGACTCCTATTGATGGATTAATTTTTTATGGCTTATCAATCCTCTGCAGGTTTTTTAAAGCCAGAAAATATTTTTAGGTTCTAAGTTTATTTTTTTATTTTTTTTAGATATAAATCATTTAGTGATACAAGTCTTACTAATTAACCCATAGCTAGGAAGAGAAGAGATGGATTCATACTTTTCCCAAAGGTATTTGCGCATAAGTGAATATAATGAACACAACTGGAATTTGAACTCTGATTAACAATTCTGAATAGTAATTCATTACATCACCCAAGCATCCACATTTTTAAGTAACAACCATTTTAATATCAATCTATTTGGTGCACTTCTTTTTGTAAGTTTTACAAGCACATAAATACGCTAAGCAGGAAAAGTAGAACAAACATTAACTTTGGATGGATTAAGAAAAAAAAGAAAAAAAAAAAAAAGACATCTGATTTGGTAAAAGCTCTTCATACTTGACATTACAAATCGAAGTAGTCTCTGTTAGTATATGAAAATTATACTAATCATACAAAAAGAATCCAGAGACAATGAATAGAGAATGAATATTTCCATATAGTGAAAATAAAATATTTTCAGACCACGGGTTCAAGAATAAAATCAAACAGAATAAGAAATTCAACAATGCTACAAGCAAAAGGAAAATTTACTCTGATGAATTCCACACTCAAAAATTAAGCATCGTTTTATTTAGAATATTAAAAACACTAAATCAAAAAGTTTTTTTGGGTACAGTTAGAAAAAAAAAGATAAGACTGGTAAAAAGACTAACATAAAGAATCATCTCAAAATCTCTTGATAAGTAAGTTGAAGGGTATGAATGAAATTTTCCCCATTTAGCAGAGTTATTTATCATCAACTGGAAAATGATAAGATTCAAAAAAGATTAAGCTTTTAAGCTTAAGGACACTTAAATTAATCAAATGGCTTCAAATCATATAAAGAAAATTAGATCAAGACAATATCTATAATAGTTTTATGTAATGCCCAAAAGAAAAAAAAAAAATTAAGTGGAGATGATAAAAATGAGTTTCCTAAACATGAAAATGAACCTGGCTTACTGAATATGAAAAAACAGAGGAGTTATCTACCTTTAATCTAAAATTCCCATTTAAGGCATTATCTTTTCTTGATTTTTATTATTTTTTTTTTCAGATTAATATTCCCAACTTCGTTGTTTGTCTAGAGCAGAGTCTCTCAAAACTGGTTTCCCCGGACGCGATACTGCACACTGAAAGGTAGCCAGAAGTACACGAAGTTAACAAGTAGAGAAATGTATCGAATTATTTTATATTTTAAAAAAAAAAAAAAAAACACTATTTTTCCAAAACTAGGGACACCAAACATGACTTCCATGCCTAAGTCTTTGTCATTTGATATTTTAAACTTGATGCTAAATCCTTTAATCTTTAAGAAGAAACGGATAACCCTTTCCTTTTGTTTTCATCAAAGGATTTAAATCAGTCCATTAATCAATTTGGCATTTCAAGAATATCCTTTTATAGCTAATAAAGCATTGAATATTTTATAATTTTCCACACCAAACCTCTGTGAATTAGGATTTTCTGCACTTACCAACATTAATTGCAAAAATAGATCAAATATTAAATGCATTGATGAGGAAATGAGATGATGTTTATCATATATAAGGCCTAACATTAAAAAATGCCAAAGCACAGGTTTCACACAAACATACTTAAATATGCAATGTCTTAGAAATAAATGCTTATTTTAGGAGACTTCTTGATTATTCTCCTATTTTCAAATTTTATCACTAATCTTTCTTTATTAAAATTTAAAGTGCACCCCAGAGTTTTAATTATTCTACAAGTGCACCCTGAAGTAAAAAGACTTGAGAAACTTTGTCTAAACATTCATTGCTTCCTTTTATGCATATCATTTGTTGTGGTCTTCTAAGAGATTGCAACAGAATCTCATGTCACTGTCACTCAGCGGGAAAGGTTCTTGCTCCTTATTTTGTTCTGTTGAATAGCCTTCTGAAAGAATTGAACTCATGACTTCTTGTTGCTAATCTTGTTTAATATGTTGGACTAAATGGCTGGCATATTAGAGTAACAAGCCATGGGATTAAACTCTTAAATATATTCTTTTATATTCCACTTAAAAAAAAAAAAAGAAAGGAATTAGAGTTACACTAGTTGAAAAATCAACACATGTAAAATGATACCATAGAGTAAATAATAAAGGATAATCTAAAATCATTGAATGACCTTCACTTGTCTGATTATGAACAAGGGAGATAAACTTAAAAAGATCATTTTTAGTATTCATTATCATTAAAAAAAAAAGATTTTATTAGTTTGAGAACTTCTGAAGAAACAAAACATCAGTGTATAGCTTATCTTCATCTATGTATCTACTCTATCAATTAGCCTACACTTACTAATATATGTAAAAATTTCATATATCTGTAAAGGGACAATATGAATAAAGACAAAAGGAAAACTTATCTTAGTCAACATGTTTTGTCCTCTGAGGAACTTTATCAAGACAAATGATAAAATGCCTTTATAAAGTCCCTCAGAGAATGTAATGCATTGGCTAAGATAATTTTTTTTTTAGTCTTTATTCTTACTAATATATGTCAATGCAATTCATAGACATCAGTAGAAGAATCTAAAAATGAAAAAAAAAAACAGGTACTGACATATAATTGTAATCATTAATTGTATATAAAACCGTTAAGGAAATTTTGTACATATCACAAGCAATAGCACTTTTAAATATGCTATTAATGACAGCTAATACTACAAGAGTTCACAAAAGACATGTAGACCTGAGAATTGCTAATTTTAAACAATTCAGACACCTTCATTTAAATATAAAATGTTCAACTTTCCACTTTAACAGTGAATTTGTTATTCCTTTGTAAGGAGAAATTTTACTTGAAAATTTGAACAGTGATTTTTTAATTTTTTCTTAATATTTTTGGCAGAGAACAATTTATTATCAAAACTGAGAAGAATGAAATTCTAGAACAATTGTATCCTTAAACAGGAGAATAGCATTTCTGTTGAGTGTTTTTCTTTCTTTCATCTCATTTTGGGGATTTAAAAAAAATCATCATGATGTCATTTTAAATTTATTTAATGAACATTAAACAAACATAGAAATAAAGATAAAGAATAAATCTCCAACAAGACCTGAGAATCCATTCCTTAGATTTGTAAACCTGTCAGTATCTTAGCAATTAGGCCTCAAAAGCAGAAGTGGTTTAAACTAACCATATAGCTGCATACTTCTGATTTCAGTGCCATATTGTTTGTAATAGTTAAATTCCTAAATAAAGAATTATTATTATTATTCACTTCAATCTTACTTTCATTTTTCTTGCAGTATAGATCACAGATAAACAATAAGCTTCCAGCAAGATTTGAACTTACATTCTTTATCCTTGAAAGTTTCTCTGATCAGCACAACATTTTACCAAAGAAAGAAAAACTAGTCATGTAAGCAATCTGGAAAACTTAGGACTCAAATAACATTATATTAAATATGTCTTATCTGCAATTCAAAGAGGATTTAACAATTTTATACATTCTTAAATTTAGATATTTTCTTCTTGTTTTTGCTTACCATGGCTTCATATATAAATCTTCAAATTTACAATTAAATTTTCTTAATGTAAATATTGAGCAACAACAGAATGCTAACTATTACTTTTGAATAGCTACTTAAATCATTTAAGAATCTTAAATTATAATTTGATACTAACAGAAGAGAAGAATTTTTTCAAAAAATACTTGAGAATCTAAGTGGTTCACAACTCCAAGATCATAAAATAAAATAATAATATAAATATGTTTTGTATGTATGTAGAGTAAATAAAATAATGTTGGTGTAAAAATGCTAACAAACCTCTTAAATATTTTCCAAATAATATTTTTAGCTAAACAAAAAAATTAAAAAAAAAAAAAATATAAACACAACCATCATCCAATCACCCAGATGAAACCAGATGAAATTTTGTTTCTGTTTCAAACAGACAAGATCATCAGCCTTTCAACTACGGCACTGTGGTACAATTCTTTTTTTATTTTCAAAAGCTGCTGTGTCAAATATTTCAGCTGAGGAACTGAGAGGAAAAGAAAAAGAAAAAAAAACACACACACACACACACAAACTTGATGGGGTTGTGGGGAATAAGTTTTTTAAAGAGTGCAACTCCTGGCAGTATAGATGATACTACAAAAAAAAAAATCCAAATTTACTAATATGTTAAGTAAATCATTGCAATTCAACAAGCACATCAGCTTCATTTACTGTTGATCCCGCAGCAAAGTGCACTTTTTTCACCTAAGGGAATAAAAAAAACGAAAAAAAAAATGTTATATTTAAATGATTAAAACAAAACCAATTAATTTTTAGACATTTTACAATCCTTTTTATCATTTGAAGTTAACTCCAAGAAACTATCCAGAAATAAATTTCAGTTATGAAAATAGACAGTTTTAAAGATGTCGAAAAATATCAAGTACATTTCAACACTGAGACTGACATTCCTATAACAAGGGTGAATGTTTACTGCATAGAAATAGTCTATTAAGTCATAAATGATAAGAAAACTAATTTGAATGCTGTATCAGGCAAAGCTCTCAAATGAACAATGTCTTTTTGCATTTTGGACATTTTCAGGTCCTTATAAAAATAAAAGTACACAAGACACAACTAAGCTGTTTAGATTTTTGTAAATTAGAGTAAATATTAACTATTGTCACTAAGTTTCAAATTTGCACATGCAATCTATGAACGTAAAAACTGTGTCAAAACCTTTATTTAGCAAATCACAAAAATGCAGTGAAATTTCAAGATGTTCTGATTTTAAAGCTATTGAAAAATACAGATCGAATATTTGGAATTTATCAATAAATTTCACCAAGAAAACACCTGTGCTCATTGGTCGACTTATATATATATATATATATATGAAAATTTCTCAGAGCCAACCTGTAGAAAACACAATATTCATAAATATAAATGACAATATGAAAACTGTAATAGTTGCAACATTGGACAAGGCACATCGGCAACTATTACAGTTTTCCTACCGTCATTTAATATTTATGAATATATATATATGTTAAAGATCAAATGCAGATCAAATATGGATTGGAATATGAGAGGATGATAAAGAACAAATAGGAGACACATCAATCAAACATGTTTCACTTTTATTAAAGCTTTGTCAGAGATTGAGAGAAAACAGACCAAAAGACAGAAACTGTGGTATTTTTAATTTTGTTTAGGTCAGTTTTCATTGCTTAGTTACTAATTAAGAAAAGAACCTAATTCTTTACAGAGAAAATACATTGAAAACTTAATAACATTATTACCAACTATAAACACATGCCTAAAACATTATATTGCCATCTTTCTTTGAATCCATTCTTAAAGAATTTAACTTATATCTAATACAAAAAAATGCTTAAAGAGATCAGCCATAGATTAGAATTAGAACTCCTACTAGACAGACACACATACACAATTACACGTTACCATCCAGTGCCTGCTTAGACATACAAGAATATTCAATCTTACATACATATAGAATTATCTATGGTTTTAATTCACATGACTGACCAACAAGAACTGACATAAAACAAAATTGAAAATACCAGAATTTCTGTTTTTTTCTCTCAATCTCTGACAAAGCTTTAATAAAAGTAAAACATGTTAGATTGATATAAGTTTCTTATTTGTTCTTTATTTTATATATATATATATATATATATATATATATATAAAATACCACACAGAGAGTGGATAGTTATAAAACTGCTCGATGTGTAAGAACAGAGATAAAATTGATACTAATATCAAATACACATCTTATTCTTCATGTGTGGGTAAGCAAATGACCATTTTTAAACAAAAAAAAAAATTTTAAATAAGACTGTCACCTAATGAAAAAGCATTCCTTTACACAAATATTTTTGAACATACTATCCTCTCCTATGTCAATGCACTTAATTCAGTGGCAAATATTAATCAGATTAAACATGCAGTGAACCTTTCGGATCAAAATCCAATTAATATCTCTACATCTGACTATTAATCTACACTTGTACATAAGAAAATTCATAGTACCTTTCCAGTTTTTCCTGCTACCAAACTGTTCTGCATTTTCATGGCTTCCAATACACACATTTCTTGGCCTTCAACAACCTGTAAGAAAAAAGTTAACATCAGGAATTTGGGAAAATCTTAGCATTATTAGAAAGGAGAGGAATCACATCAAACTGTTCTTGAATTACAAATAGACATTTTTATCTAACTATTACTACATTATACAGTGCAGAGTAATATACTTACGGTATCTCCATCAGCAACAGAGATAGATTTCAGAATCCCTGGCATGGGAGCCAGTAACATACTGCTTTGGTCAATTTCTGGTTTGACTGGCATATACTTTTTCAAACCTGCAGCCATTTCACTAAGAACTTCCAATTTGAACTGCAATAAGTAAATAAAATTTAAAAAGTCATGTTTGACAAACAAATTGAAAATAATCAAAATCTATTACATCATTTATTGTAATAACAAAGGCAGTTGACGATGAAGTAATGTTTAAGCAGCTAGTCAAGATGACCATTACTATGACACACAGAGTCTATAATCCTCACAAGATGCTCCCATACATGTGTCACATTGTCTGGCTATAAGTAACTATTGTCATAATGCTTTATACTATTTTAATATAAATTTAAATTATACATTTTAATAAGAAAAACAATGTGGAGTCAATTTATATTAAAATATAAATTATGCCAGAAGCAGAGACATTATTATCTTATAATTTATAAGCATATAGGGAGGACATGCTTTCCAGCACCATGGTGAAGGACAGAACTTCCTCCAGGACTACAGAAAAAACACTTCTAGATTGAGTTTTACATTTAAATTTTTTTTTAAATTTCTAATTCATTTTACATTAATCATCTTTCTTACATTTTTCTTTTGTTTTTGTGTCTTTATTTTCTTGGTTTGTTTTTTGTTTTATTTTCCTGGTTTATTTTTTTTTTTTTATTTCTGTCACTTGTTTTCATTGTCTTTTGGGGGGATGGGGAGGGGTATTTTCATGGTGTTTTTTTTTTTTTTTTCCTCCAGAGTTGGTAGTGCTAGATCTTTTTTTTTTTTTTTTTTTGAGGGGAGGGGAATTTTCCAGAGTTTTTTGTTCAGTTGGGAGGGGGGTATATTCTAGGTTTTTTATTTTTTTTGGTGTGGGGTATCTTCCAGGGTTTCTTTTTTGCTTTTATTTTCCAAGTTTTTGATTTTTCTTTTCTAGTTTGTTTTTCATTGTTTTCCTATTTTTTGTTTTATTATCTTTGTTTTTTTATCCTATCCAATCAATCTATTACAATCAAGTAGTTTATATTTTGTTTTTTTCTTACAATTTATAATTAACATAAATATTCTATTATAATTCTTATTTTTTTCTAGTTCTCCTCCCTTGTATGTTTTGTTAGTTGAAAATATCCATACATTTGCTTTAAATATATGAACAATTTTTAGAAATTAAAAAAAATAGAAAACTCTTATAAAATTAATGAAGCTAATATATAAATTAGCTTTTTGGAGCCACTTTCAAAAAACCTGAAAATATTTGTGATTAAATAATAATTAATCATACATACACATAAAATATACTTACCACAGTTCCAAAAAACTGTATGTTCATTTCACCAGAAGCATTATGGGATATTAGCTGAAATAAAATTTTAGTAAAATAAAAAATCAAATTCAAATTGATATGGTCAGAAATTAAAACAAATATGATTATTTTATAACTTTCGTATACATACGTATGTGAAACATGCAGTTTTATTTTTACAAAAATTGTGTTAAGAGAATCTATTGTTGCAAGATATAATTCAATAAAGGACTTTAATCCTTTTTAAATTCATTTTTAAGATTTTCTTTGAAATTGTAGAGTAAGTGGCCATAGTTAAATATAAAATAAATGACAAGAGCAAGTTCAGACAAATGAACATATGTAACATTCTTACTTCAAGACAAGCTAGGCCGGGTCTGAGACATATGAAACTAAGAACTGGCTTATCTTATTGGCTAGGAAGAAATCCCAGCATGCATTTGTGTACCTCTGCCTATAAATTGGGGAGGAAAAAGTATTGTGTAGTTATTCCTACAATAACTGGAACTAACAGAAATCAATGAATAAAAAAAAAAATTAACTTTTTTTAACTATTAATTTATCAATCCAATATTAAACAGTAACCTATTAACAGCAAGCTTCTGTGGCACATTGTTTTAACAAGGGTCATTCTTGCAACTGTTCAATCCTTACTAAGTGCCCAACTACTGTGACCTTGTGTCAAACTGAACTAAGGACATTAAATAATATTTATGACCATACTTTAATTTCATCAGTTCAGACCTTCATGGCACACCCTGCCACTTACACAAAATTGAATCACCCTCATTCCCCACCTCCCAACTTCGGTGTTCCAAATGTAAGAAGAAAGTTTCACTCAGACAGCTCCCCACCACCACAAAAGCTGAAACTTTATAGAACACATATATATATATATATATATATATATATATATATATATATAATATATAAAATTTAATAATATAACAATATTTTAAAATGTCACATGATACTTTCAATCTGAGGAGGGGGGAACCATACGTGGATTTTACAAGTAAGTGAAATCGTCAATCAAAATTGAGTCTAAATTAAAAATCCTAGAGATCATGACAGTTTGCACAACTCACATGACTTAATGATTTCGGTCAATTTTACAAACCAGCACATCTCAAATGGACCAGCCTGATGGTTTTTTTTTTTTTTTTTTAAATTGAGTCACTATCTCTAGACTAGTTGCCAATCAAGGCTAGAGAGACTAGTCTGCATTGTGATTTATTCAATAACTGGGGAAAGGGAAGAGATAGATTCATGCCTTTCCGAAGGGTAGTTGTGCAAAAATGAATGTAGCAAATTCCACCTGAGTTTGCTATGTTCCCTTTTGCACAAATCTAGCTCTTCTCCCCCCAGCTATGGGTCAAATAACAGGGCATTCTCTGATAGGATGTGCCAATAATGTAGCAGTTAGGGATTTCAAAAAGAGAAATCAGTTTAAATTCAAATGATTTAATGTGAAAAGTTAGAGGACCAATCTAGGTAATTTGGATTTTACACAGAGGATAGGAAATGATGGATTGAGGTTAGCAGATACTAAATTTTATATATATATATATATATATATATATATATATATATATATATATATATATACACACACACGCACAACAGTTATTAAGTTGCAAATTGCACAGAAATTGCCTTGTTCTTCAAACTAGACGTGGATGTTGGTGGTATATAACAGAAGTTGAACTTTTCTGTCAGGAATCCATAATATGTTTTTGCCTTGGTGCATGTAGCAATCTGGCAAAATGGCATCTGATATGAAAGTGCATATGAAGCAGGGTGTTCTTGGCGGGGAGGTGGGTGGAATTGCATCCATTGACATTCATCAATACTTGATGAACATTTATGGAAACCAAACATTGCACAAGAAATGAGTAATATATTTTGATAATGGTGGCAGGGTTTTGTGTGCGGGTGGCTGATCCTGCACAATTCATAAAAAAGAAGAATGCCTTGGAAATGCACAGCCAATAGTAGTGCCTCTGTTCTAAGTATTTTGCTGGCTTGAACAGACATTTTTTTCTATTGCCCATTGCCAAACTGTACCATTTGTTTTTATTTTTTCTTTATATGAGCAATTTTTGTTTTGAAGATTCAAAGCTTCTTTTATTTCAATCCTAATATTTTTGATTATTTAAATAGTTTTCAGCTTTCTAATTTCTTATTATTCTAATCATTTTTCTACCTTGTTTGCTTTTGAAGAGAATGAGAAGACTTTAGTGAGAAGAAAGGACAATAAAAGAACAGGATTCAGGATACGTCTTGTTCTCTTCCATAGGATTAAACTAAAAATGCTTGTCATCTTTCCTGCTTAAATTTTAAATTTATATATTTAATAATCTGATTTATCTTTATAGGTTTGTTACCATAACTGCAAAAACAGCACATCATAGCAAGAGTTTTCTTAGGGCAATATCATTGAATTATGTTTATATTTCTTGAGATGAGGGATTGTAACTATTTGCACTATTCAGACTGTTGTCCTCATCTTTATTGTCATAGGACTAAATAAATGGTGTGGTTCAAAATTCCAAAGTATATCACCTGAAGAATGCCAGAGCGTACAATGACTGAAACATCATGAATATGACAATAAACAGTCCGAACAATGTAAATAGTGTAAATCATTGACTTTTTGAAGGGGAGGGGAATTTTCCAGAGTTTTTTTTTATTTTTTTTTTTTTGGGTGTGGGGTATCTTCCAGGGTTTCTTTTTGCTTTTATTTTCCAAGTTTTTGATTTTTTTTTTCTAGTTTGTTTTTCATTGTTTTCACCATGACCAAAACATTGTGATAACAGCAACAAAGAAGAAGTCCGAGTGTAAATAATGAGAGTTCCTTATCCCAATGACAACAAGAGAAAATATTTTTAAAATTTAAAAAGACTGTAAATTCTTTGATATTTGTACCTGAATGGTGTGTTTCTTTCCGTTAATACTAGCAGCAATTTTTGGTTGGTATAGATTGAATTCATCTGGAATAGTTGCGGTGTGATCAGCCACAGTCACCTGGAAGAAACAATATAATATCAGTCATAGAAATTTAATCAGGAATTGGAGTTCTGTATTTCAATACCTTCAGTTGTTCTGTATTTTATCTAGAAAAATAAAGAATATTCTATTCTGTAGGATGTTAGAAATTAACAGAATATATGAGAAGGTACTGAAAAGGTAAGGGTACAAAAGAGATTCCAAAATAAATCTTCATGTTTGGTTATTTGGTTAGTTGACACTCCCACATTTTTTAAAAACAACTAGAAGAAAAAGCTTAACCAGCACTCATTGTAAGACTGATTCAAGATCTGAAAATCCTCAAAGCATAAAAAAGAAAATTCAGCCCAACTATTGCACCTCAAGGAAGATAAAAAAATTTTGTGCACAGCTAAAATTGAAACATGCACATCAATAATATATTGGGACAGGAATACTTTTATAAACAAATCACAAGTTGTTTATGCACAATAATTTTACTTTTCTTCATCGAGTTCTAATAAGTTAGGAGCAATAACCAGTTAGTTTATTGTTATATTTTTTTTTCTTTTTGATACTGTAGTTGTTTTCACTTTTTGTCACCCATTTAATTATGTCCATACTTTTTGCTATAATTAAGTTTAACACAGTGGTTCCAAAATGGTGCGACACAAGAGGATAGCAGGTGCGACAGAATGATTGAAAGACAATCAAAGATTTAGAAACACTACAAAATTCATATACCAAAAATAAATATGATTTCAAAATTTAAATTATTATAGATTACATTTAATTGTATGTATGAGTCCCAGTATAAATCACTATAAATAATTATTGACCAATTTTATCATTGTGAGATTTTTGCATTATATCAAGTATTACAAATATAGTAACTAGCGTTCACAAATTGGAGGAGAAAGTTATCAATGATAATGTTCTTACTTCAAATCCGCAGTTATCTCCCTTTAGTCCTCTTTCTGCTTTTTATTTTTAAATATACTTTTTATTACATAAAATTTGGTGAGGCATGAGTAAATTTTCATTCTGAAAATGCGGCCCAGAGAAAAAAGTTAGGGGACCACTGCTCTGGTATTTCTTGGTATGAATCATGTACAAATAAAATTTTAATTTCCATTCATCTACAGTAATTAGTTTCCTTTGTTTTTGTTTAATTTTAATATGCCTTGTTTGCTGTAAATTCAGGAAATTCTGCTAATTCACCTAAGTGATTTTTTTCTCAATTTTCCATTTATCCCATATACAATTTTTTTTTTTACCAAGAATAGTATACAGGAATCTGCCTCTTACTTGATATTGGCCCAGATTTGGTAAATGCTCCACATGTGCATTAATTTGTCGATCTTCAAAGAAAACCACAAGATTCCAGACAGAGGGTATTTCATCTCGAGATCTATAAGAAAAAAAAAAGAAACAAAGTCAGTAAACCACAGAAAATATAAAATGAAGAAACCATTTTTTTTCTAGAAAGAATTACCTGAACACACACACAGTGCGATGTATAAATTGTCATCTAAATTACACAAAAATGAAAATAACACTGACATCTAGTTTAACATATTTACCAAAATTTCACAAAAATATCTTTAAATACTAAAGAGTAAATTTATTCAATAAAATCGCCATTGGCTTCAGCTACAGCCCTCAGACGACTTTGGAATCTCCTGCAACTCTTCTGGACAGTTTCTTTGTTTAAGTTGGCGAATGCTGCCATAATCCTTGCCTTCAGTTCATCTTTGGTGTTACATAGAGTTTTGTTGGTCTCTCGCTCAACTGTGCCCCACATGTAATAATCAAGGGGGTTACAGTTTGGAAAGTGGCCAGGTGTAAGGGGTGATGTGGTCACAGAAATTGTCCGACAACTATGACTGGGTTTTCCTGCTTCTGTGGCATGGTGCAGAATCTTGTTGTCTGACATAGGGTATTCCAGCAACCCCCCTCTTGACCCAGGGCACCACTAATTCTTCAGAGAACTTGATGTAGGTCTCCATGTTGAGTGAGGCCCTGTGAGAAGATGAATGAAGGCATAACATTGTGATCACTCCAAACACCATGATGTTGACTGGATATTTGGTTTTAATCACTCTCAGTACATCTTTTGGGGGACACAGCAAGCCAATAGTTGTTCCGTGTGTTCACCATCTTAGCCTGACAGAAATTTTTCTTGTCTGAGAAAAAACAAACAATGTTCAGTTGGAGAGGATGCTTGAGTTTGTTCAAAAGCTTTGTAGAATGGTCTTCCCTCTTGTCCTTCTTGACTTGGGATAAAAAGTTGGCCCTTTCTCATCTTGTAAGGGAAATACCAAATGTCTTCATGTCCTACCTGCCTGATAAGAAACTCGGACACTTCTGTGTCCCTGTCTATGGACCTTATTGACTTAAAGGAATCATTGTTAATCATGGCCTGAATCTAACCATCAAATTCGGCAGTACTTTTCTCATCAGAACAATCAGAGTGAATCTTCTGAGCTGCTGCACCTTCATAATCACCATTAGACTCATCCAACTCTTTCCAAATCCTCTACACTGTCCTCACATTGACACCCAAACACTCTGAAATGTTCATATTGAGCTTCTGATGTGAAAGACAAGCAGTACAACATGCCATTACCAAATTTCTGGTTGAGTGAATTACATCATGGTTCTCCTTTTTTCTCACAGATGGTGCCCAACTGACCCTACTATACTGTGCAGTTGACAAAATCAAAAACAAACAACGCACATATGTGTGGAATTAAAAATATAAAATGGTGACAATTTGCCCATCATACGCTGTATAATGTTAAATAAACAAAAATACTAGAAAGCAAGACAAATTACAAAAGTCATACATAAATAAACAAATATCAACATGGAAAGAGGAGAAACGACACTACTTGGTTTCAGTGAGAAAATGAAAGGAAGAAAGAATGAAAGCTGGACATATTTGGTTTTAATCACTCTCAGTATATCTTTTGGGTACACAGCAAAGCCAATAGTTGTTCTGTGTGTTCACCATCTTAGCCTGACAGAAATTTTTCTTGTCTGAGAAAAAACAAACAATGTTCAGTTGGAGAGGATGCTTGAGTTTGTTCAAAAGCTTCATATCACAGTCTTTCATCATGTCCTTCATGGCTTGGGATAAAAATTGTCTTCATGCACTACCTGCCTGATATGAAACAAATACACCTGTACCCTTGGATATGGACCTAACTGACTTTGCGGGATCATTGTCAATCATGACCTGCATCTCACAAAAAAATAAATAAATAAATAAATTTGGGAGTTCTTTTCTTATTAGAATGACCATAGAGTTTTCTGAGCTGCCATACCTTTGTAATCACCATTAGACCCATCGAACCCTTTCTGAATCTTCTGCACTCTCCTCAGATTGACACCTAAACACTCTAAAATGTTTGTATTAGAGTTTCCAACATGAATGCCAAGCAGTACAGCATGCTGTTTCCAAATTTCTAGTGGAGTGAATTGCATCATGGTTTTTTGGGTTTTTTTTTTTCCTCACAGATGATGCCCATCTGACCCTTCTATACTGTGCAGTTGACAAAATCAAAAACAAACAACGCACATATATGCAAAATTAAAAATATAAAATGGTAAGAATGTACACACTGTACCTGTGTGTGTCTGTACACACACACACACATATATATATATAAAAACCACTACTAATAAACAGTATTAACACAATAATATTAGGATGATAATCAAAATCCATTATTTAGTTTCATGTGGTTGTTTATATATATATATATATATATATATATATATATATATATATATAAACACAGAAACACACTCAAATAATAAAATATAAGCAAAAGCTTAAATAACCCCATGAAACTGAATAGCATGTTTTGATTACCATCTTAATATTATTGTATTAATAACCACACTATTTATTGGTAGTGGGTGAGTGTGAATAACGACAAAAGGAAAACTCTTTAGCAATGCATTTCATTCTCTGATCGACTTTATCAAGACAAATGTTTGCATTGATAAAGTTCATTATAAGACAAAACAATGCATTGATAAAAAGAATGTCTTTATTCATATTGTCTTTTTAAGGATATGTTTTATCAATATTTTATGCATATACATATTGTCCAAAATTTTGTTTGATCCAAGCTCCAATCAAAGCTCAATACAGACACATTTGTATGAGAATTATATTTTAGCCATCAAAAGTCAGTTCATATCTCAATTCATGTTTTATGAATACGGCTATATATCAAAATATGTCAACAATAATCCACAGAGGATTAAGATTATTAATATGGTGCAGAGAAAATGAGATCAAGAAAAATGTAGCTATATAAAAAATAAATTAAAATTTCACTTGCTGCTCAGTCTCCATGACTAAATTGGTAAGGTGCTGTCTGTGTCAAAAGGGTTTCAAAGGAAATGGGATACAATTTCAGTTCTCATTAGAAGTAATTTCTCTATTTCTGATCAGTTACAGCAGGTAATAAAAAAATCTTAGCATTGCAATAAAAAAAGCAACAAAAATAAGAAGATAAACTAATAAAAAAAAAAATTAATAATGACAATGCTTCATTAAAATTCAAACAACTGAAAAATATTAAAACTAAATTATTATTTTAAAACTATTGAGAGTGGATTCACACTCCTCCCAGCTTTTTGAACAGGAGTAGAGGTTTATCCCTTCTAACCTGTTTAAGATTGGAATTCTACTTCCTTCTAAAGTCTTCTCTTTCTCTTTCACTTTCACCTTGCATCTTAGTGGCATTTTCATCTTGCTTGGGGTGAATTGATTAAAAAAAAAAAAAAAAGTTTTTATTCTATTTCATCTAAGTCTTGTCCATTTTCTACAAGCAGATGGTGAAAATTTTTCAGTCCTAACCACTTCCAAAAGTCTAACCAAATGATTAGATATTATTTTTCTTAAATTCCTTCCTGGTCAAATGAATAACATTATAAACTTAAAAAAAAAAAAAAAAAAAAAAAAAATTAATTTATGTAAACAATGTTCACAAAATTTTTTTTTATATAAATAAAAAACAATTCTTGAAAAATAAAAAATGCGTAAAAATAAAACAATGCTCACAAAAAACAATTTTATAATATCAATTCATCTTCTGAAACTGACAAAATTGAGCTCCACCACTTAGAACCTAATGCAGGCTGAATTGATTAAAAGTGCTTCTAAGATGATAACGTTTTATAGATTTTATATTTAATAGTGTAAATGCCATCTGCTCCCCCAGCATAAAATCACAGGCATTGAATTTAACATACAATTTATATTAAGAATGTACGTACAACACATCAGATAATATAAGGATTTATCTATAAAGATAATCTCACAACTAATGTTTTCCCTTCAAACATAATCAATAAAGAATAGAAGAAACAATTTTATAGCTAGAGGCAGGATAAATGAACTAAATAAGTACGAAAAATGCTTATGATTTTCAAGGATTAGTAATTATTTTAAATTCGTACTAATTATTTATCTTTAATAAGTGAGTAATAAACACAAAGTATTGCTTTTTTTTGTAATCATAGCTATAACGGCACAAAAGGAAAAAAATATTAACCTTCAATATATTTTTTTTTAAAATATAAAATAAATAAGTCAAGGGAAGTAAATATTTAATAGCTTATAGAAGTTATCTCCCTTGTCCTATTATTCTACCTTTTATTTTTGATGACTTATTTTAGTGCATATTTTTACTTATAATTATTGTCACATGATGCAAACAATAGTCTATACTATTTAAATAAATAAGCTGTAAATAATCAATAATGCCTTTTTATAGCCATCTATATTGGCATAAGTAGTGAAGCAATCATTCTAAGTGATGCGATTAATCAAAATAAGTGCTTTGTAATTTGTTACTTTTAATGAATTTCAGGTTTATGATATTATTTTATGATATAATTTCAGGTTTATGATAGGAAATTTTGTCATTAATAATTTATCTGCAAGCAATTATCAAAATATGGATTTTTTTTTATTTTGCAAATCCTAATTCCTTTGAAATTTAGATGAACTACAAATCAGTAATATATTCAATACATATTGATAACTTTCAGAACTAAAATAATTCATTCAACCTTCAAAGTATCTTATACACAAATAATACACGCAATATCATTACTTTTTCAATCATAACTGATTTATCATCTTTACATATTACTTAATATATAAATGGCCTTTTTTAGATGTGTAAATAAATAAAGAAAATCATCTCAGGATGATGAATAAATAAAGTTATTAGGAGGTACAAATTCTATAGTTTGATCTTTAATTTGAAAAACATTTTATCTATATCAATATAAAGTAACATACTGTGAGTTCAGGTGGTCAATGCAAAATAACAGAACTAAAATACATACTAATAATAAATATACATTTGTTCCTCACCATTT